CATTTGCTTATGCACCCACTTTGTATTCAGTGATTGTGTCAGGAAGGTAAGCATCATGGAATGCCAGTTTAATAGAACAAAGTATTCTTTCATTGAGGGAGTACTTGAGTGGAGGCCCAATGTCCATCTGCTACATTAATACTAAATCTATCCATATGTGCACATCCTCTAAGATTCTTATGATTCAGAACTGACTCTAGGACATTGAGTGAGCGAGTGAGTGAGATAATCTCATCACATGCACTAAACTAAATCCCACTTGAAAGCAAGAAACACTAGCAACGTTTTAGAGTATCTTCTCTTATTCTGAAAGCTTTCCTCTTTTGATTAGCCCTTCAAGTTCATAGAAAGATGCTTTTAATTGCAAGTCACGCATACCTCCGTGAATTTTTTCTTAAGTAGCAAGGAAATAATTAAGGGAGCATCCCTTGTGTAAGGTATAGGTGCAAAAATGCCCTCAGGCTATAGTTCAAACTTGTGAACTATAGGAAAGTATGCCTCATTATGTAGGTAACAGTGCCTCGCTCTTGTGATTTTTCACTCTAAGACATTTGTAGTAGCAGCAACACATGTAAGTGTCCTCGGTCTTTGTCACACCTACATTATAAAGCCCTATCGAGTAGAAATCATGACGTCTCCAGACACACCACTGCTTTCTGATGCTTTTCCTGCAATGGGCTTTCCAACAATGATTGGATCTGACCCACCTCACAGAACCAGAGGTCACCACTATTCAAAGCAACCGTAGGAAGCCATTCTGTGTTCGCTGGCTCCGGGCCTTCACTTGCTCCAGTAAAGGGAAAGCAGAAATGCTCAATGAGCAACCGCCAAAAGGGTTGGGACCTTCCTCAATTGCTAGTCCTCATCTGGATCTTGCCAATGTATATGATCAATATGTCTCTCGATTATCAGTCTAAATGACTCACTTCTGTGAGAGTGACTTTATTTTGCTGTTCTCCTTAGGGACAATTAAATAGGTCATAAAAATCAAGTACCTGCTGGTTCCCCCCCCCCTTTTCAGAATATGAAGTTATATCCAGAGAAAATGGGACATTCAGCGGGAAGAACAAATCCATTCAAGTTACCAATCAAACCTTTTCTACCGTGGAAAATCTGAAACCGAACACAAGGTAAGCTACCGTGCTGTGAGAGGTGACCGTCGAGAATGCAAAAGGCGTCGCCACCACTAGGGGGTGACATTAAAATGGCCTTTCTGTCTTTAAGGAGGGTGCTGTTTGCTTTTCATCCTGTGGCTTTCTGTGCATGCACCCGATCGCTCTGCAGTTACCTTCACTGTTTGTAGGTGCCCTCCGGTCAGCTCCATGTCATAGTGTCCCTGTGTGAAACAGAATGAAACACCGCCCATGCTTTCACCGTCCTCACAACTGCTCTAGGTTGCAGCCCATCACTGTAGCCACTGTCAGTCCGTCTCAGCAACGGCTTTTCCCCTGCCCTCCCGTTTTATCTAGCATGATGTCCTTCTTCAGGGACTGGTCTCTCCTGATAAGGTGTCCAAAGTCTTCCCATGATGCTCTGGTTGTACGTCTTCCAAGACAGACCTGTTTGTTCTTTTGGCAGTCCATGCTATGTTCAATATTTCCTCCAGCACCACAATTCAGATGCATCAACTCTTCTTCCGTCTTCTTTACTCAATGTCCCACTTTCACATGTAGGTGAGGCCATTGAAAATACCATTGCTTGACTCAGGAGCATCTTAGTCCTTAACGTAACATCCTTGTTCTTCTATATTCTATACTTCTATACCTATGCGGTCTGGTGCAGCAGATTTACCTAATGCAACTTGTCTTTTATCTCTTGACTGCTGCTTCCATGAGCCTTGATTGTGGATCTGAGCAAGACACTTCACCCTTTACTCCATTGATCATGATGTTACCTATGAGTCCATTTGTGAGGACTTTGGTCTTCTTGACATTGAGTCGTATTACACTGAAGGCTGCAATCCTTGACCTTCATCAGCAAGTGGTTCAAGTCCTCCTCACTTTCCGCAAGCAAGATTGTGTCCTCTGCATATTGCAGGCTGTTAATAAGCCTTCCTCCCATCCTGATGCCACATGCTTCTTCATCCGATCCACATTCTCTGATGATGTGCTCAGCCTACTGACTGAATAGTGTGGTGAAAGAATACAACTCTGTCGAATACCTTTCCTCATTTCCAACCATGTGGTGCACCCTCGCCCCCTTCCCCAAACTGATCCATGCATAAGTTCCACATGACCGAGATGGCCTGTTCTGGAATTTCCATTCTTCTCAAGGCTATCCATAATTTATTATTATCCACAGAGTTGGATGCCTTAGCATAGTCGATGAAGCACAAGTAAGCATCTTTCTGGTATTCTCTGCTTTGAGCCAAGATCCGTCCGACATCAGCAACAGTACTGTGTTCCAGGTCTACTTCTGAGTCTTGCCTGAATCTTTGGTAGTTCCCTGTCAAAGTACCACTACAACCACCCATTTTTGGATGATCCTAAAATTTTACTTTCATGTGATAGTGTACCATAAAGTTTGTAGATTTAAACAATAGAAAATTATTATCTCCTTGCTCTGGAGGCTAGTAGTCTGAATTTAGGGTTTTAATGGGCT